GGGCAAAGAAGGATTTTTAAGATTTGTTTAAGAAAACTCTGATTGTTCAAGAAACTTGCAGGCACAGACATGAAAATGTCACAAATTACAGTAAATTCAACATTACTGCCTTAATTCAGAAGAGGGAAAATCAGCAAATGAGGAAACTATATTTCCTCAGCTGGACATGCTGCCAGAGAAGACCAGAAAGGACAAGAGAAGCTAAACCTTACATAGCATGTGTGGTGATGTCAGGAGCTGCTGGGCCTTTTGTCTGTCATTCAGAAAGGACTTTATGTCTTAATAGTATCCTAAAATCTGAATAACAACCAGCAGATGTCAGCACCACTTTTCCTCTGGCATGGGGGCTCCACAAGGGGAGGACAGGAAAAACCGGCCAGCAGCCCAGGTGCACTGACCCAGACCCCGTTGACAGAGCCAACATCCAGCCCCCTGCTGAGGATCACCAGGGCACAGGCCCCTTGCTCCAGCTACAGCCACGTGGAGCTGTTTGATCTGCACCCACCTGGGAGCAGGGTATATAAGCTGCTGCTGAAAAGAAGATGCTCCTGGAGGCAGGGACAGCCCTGGGCTGAGCCTGGCCCGAGCCTCTGCTCCTGCCTTGCTGGGGTCCCTCGTGCGTGCTCCCAACCCGCCCCAGCTCCAGGCAGTCAGACAGTGCCGCCGGAGCTTCAGGCACCTCCTCCACGAGCCTCTCCGCGCAGGGACCTCTGCTCCAGCCTCTGGGAGTCTCAGACTGCACACCTAGTGTTAGAGACCGCAGCTCAGACCCCACAGGCACGGGGCAGGCGAGGGGAAGCTGACCTGTCACACAAGCACAGAGTTATTCGGCAGCACAGAGGGAGGGGAAAGAAAGGGAATCGCCCTCGCAGGTTTTATACCTGCTCAGGCCTCCTCATCGACAGGACTTCCAGCACAGCTCACACCTCCCACCTCAGCTGCTCTGCTTTGTCTGAAACTGCCTGTGTAAATCTTTGCCCTTCTAATTATTTTAAAAATCCAACTCCTTCAACCTGCAGAGAGGGAACAGGTCTGGCCCCACCAGCCACACATCTGTAATCAAAGTTTTTATGGATGTAGATTTCCCAGAGGGAAATCTGTATTTCTCAGCACGATGCAAAAACTCCATCTACAGCATGAGAATCTGGCCAGCCAAAACCCAAGTCAATCTAACAATGTTTGGTCACAGAGTAGCACAAAGCGAAAGTTTTACACAAATAACAGATGTAGTGGACAGTTGCCACTCCTCTTCGCCTACTCTAAAACGAAACAGAAAGTGGTTAGAAAGTGTGAAATTCACACCAATACTCTCAGCTGTTTCTGTAAGCAGTTGACCCTCACTGCTCTAGACTGCAGGTTTTTTCCCCCATGTATCTGTACTTACTATTAGCATCAAGTATCTTCCCTAGAAAAATCTGCCAGAGTTAAGCTTGACAAATGTTTGAAAATGGCACAGCCAGCAGCAGTAGAATTACAGTTTTATAGAGGTATTTGTTGGCAATGGCACAGCCAGAATTCTATTTAACAGCTACTTAAATAGACTCAGCTTTCCTGAACAACTTAAAATAGTGAAAAGTTTGACGTGATGGTGAGCTGTTGTACTCTACACAAGAATACAGTACTCAAAGCCAATCACAAAGATGTTTTGGGTTTTGTCTCCTTCCAAAACATGTTTATGAAACAATATTAACTCCCAGCACGTGAATACAGAAAAAAACACGACCAAGTCACATTATAAAAACCCTTCCCACTACATATTCAAATAATGTTACCACACTATTTCACAAGCATGATTTTTCTGCTCAAAAACTCAAGATAACCCAATAAAATATTTCTTGAACACAGCAACCTCTCCAAACCAATACATTTCAGAGGCAGAGTTCATGCAGGTAGGTTTGATTTTTGTTGGTTTTTTTTTTTTTTTTTAATTCCCATAAGAAACAAGTACTTTCTACAATCATCCTGCAGAACAAACTCTTATTCTTCCCAGCTGGCAGAGCTTCATCTATGCTCTTCAAGGACCTGCACGATCTACACCACCTGCTGCAGACAGCAGCTCCTTTAGTAGATTTATTTTCCCCACAGCCTACACTAGAGTGTCAGGCTCTGTCCCTAGAAAAGTGCCAGAGGCATCTCCCATGCTGCCCACACCCAGCGCAGGACAGGGCCAGCAGGATCCTTCCAGGCCAACACTTCTTAGCCACATGGCCCCAGGTGTGAGGAGCCTGCAGCACAAGCCTAGTTCAGCCGAAGTCGCTGATTTCACTTGGCTGTTTTCAGGCTCCTTGGCTCCTGTGAAACCCGTGACCATACTGTGCCTCGGGCACGACTTCCACCACTGCAAAATTCACGGGCTTTGTTTCTACAGCCTTCACTTAATGGGAGCAGGAGCATTTAGTGACAGCAAACTAGTAACAAGATTTAAGAACATCACTCTCTAGGAAAATCTGTCAGTACTTGACATAGTAAAAGGTATTACCATAATGTACTAAATTCTACCAAAAGCACCTGATACAAGTTCTAGGTCCTACTTTCCTTTTTTGTCTTTTAGCAGCTATTTTGCACTAAAAGAAACTTGCACGTAATGTTCCCCAAATAAAAAGGACAGGGGAGGAGAGAGGTAATCATTTGCACACACACCTAAGGGCAAGTTTAAAAGCTGGTTTATTTGAAACTGTGAAATCAAAGTCCAATAAATAGAATGCTTACATTACCACTGGACACTGTGTAGGAAAACTCTGGCAAGACTGGATCCTTAGTGCCCCATGCATGGGTGAACCCTGAAATGACTTTCCAGCTCCCTGGCCCAAGCCACACTGCAGTCTCAAGAACAAACTTTAACTGTCCACAGCAAGCCTTCCCCAGACGCACACTGCCAAATTCCTCCGATGGAATTTCACCAGTACCAGCAGAACTACCTCAAAGATTACTGGGCTCACAGGATCGAGGTTTTAAGAGTGAAAATGAATGTCTAGATTTCAGAATATCTATAGTGAATCCCTCTTCCTCACTCAGAGCCTTTCACACTGGTTCATGAACTGTGCTGTGCCCAAATACATATTTAATTTTTATTTTAGTGAGCTATTATTAGGCTTTAAGAGCACAATACTTCTCACTCACTGCCACTCTTTGAGGTGGGACATGCTGGCGATCCCATAAATGGTTCTTATGTTTGTCCAACGCTGCTGTTAAATGACTAAGTTTTTCCAAATAGCAGAACCTCTCAGTTTAAGTAACTGCATGTTACATATACAGTAAAATTCTTTGAAGAGGTCAATATTAAAATACCAAGTTTATATCCAAAATAGAATTTCAAACAGCTTATAGAACCTCAGGTGGACTATCACCAAATTCTGCTAAAAATGTCGCATCCTTCTAGAAACAGCACAAAAAACAACTCTGTACCTCTTTAAAAACTATTGCACAAGGGCTAAAGTATGGTACTACTTATAAAAACAAACAAGCAAACAAACAAAAAAACACGGAAATAAGTTTGGGCCTACCACCCTTTTCTTGTAGCACTGGCACAAGTGATCTGGCAGAAGAGTCTCCTATTTTATTATTTTTTCTTCTGGGAAAGAAGGGTGGGGGAAGGGGGGTGAAGAGGAAGAAGAAAAAATAGTGTGTATTCTAGGTCACTCATTATATGACAAACACTGGAGGCAGATGATACCAAGCATCTCCAGGACGGAAGGACAGTACTCAGCAAGGCCTCAATGGGGCCACCCATACTACAGTTTGTTCAACTCAAGTGAACCTTCTCAACAGCTTCTCTGGAATCTGCAATAGGGATGCTAGTTCTTGCTGGACAAGGTAAGTCCATACGACTCTTCTACTTTCTATACGACAATTAAAAACAATCACTACGTGAATATCATTGGTTCAGGTACTCAGCAGATTAAAGTCTTGGAGCTACCAATTAATCCAGTTTCAATTTGTACAATTTCTGACTCAACGGGTTTCAAAGCCACCTCCTAACTTCCTGGGGAGGAGGCCCTGCTCAGCTGCCACCTCACGCAACAGCGACTGCAAATAAAAAACAGATTTTTGACCAAACTTTGGTGGTGTCCAGGTATGGCTTCTACAGAAAAGTGATGTGCACACAAGTCATGTACTCTGTGCATCAAAACAGATAATCTGACACTTGCCAATGCAGTTTTGCTTTTTGAAAAAGAAACAAAACCAAACGCTGTTACCAAGCTTTGAACAAAAGGTATTTGAACAACCAGGCTTCAACACCAACAAAAAGAGTAAACACTTCTGATTAGCAAGATCAATTTAACAGATAATAAAACAACCATTTCAAGGCAGTTAATTATAACAGGTCAACAGGCACCCCCCAAGCCCCTCAGTCCCCACCATGTTAATACCACTTAGATACCAGTCACCATGTTTAACTGGCACAGATATTTTGACTGAGGGGAAAAAAAAAGACTGCACTGCCCTGTATTTTATTGCTACCAATGCACTGGGAATCTGAAGGGGCAATGGATGTAAAGACTACAATCAATTCTTCAGTAGGTAAAAAAAAAAAAGAGGTTGAAAAAAATCAGGACTGAAAACCACAAATAATCAAATAGATTTTTTCACATTGTTTGCCTTAGTATTTTAACCAACATTATACATTTTATTGTTTAGAAAAGATGACATTGCAGAAAAATAAAATAAAATTTGTTTTTAACAGGACAAATGTTTCACATGATGGTATAAAAAGGGCAATGGGAGCCTGGGGGAGAAGAAGGGGAAATGGAACAAAACCAAAACCACTACTCCAGAAAAAGTAAAAAGCTAAAACTAATTCCAGATGTGCAAGTCTGAAGGTTTTAGCTTTTTCAAATACACAACTATTGTGCCTTTCACAACAACAGTCACAACTGAACAAGACTCTGTTCTACTGCATCCTTCAACAGGCCAGTCTGCAAGTTAAAACAAATACAATAAACTGCTAAATCAATAAGTATTTAATTATGGATTGCTTTTAGATGTTATAAAAAGCCTGTTTACATATCTAATGTTTGATCTTTTATACTCAAACTGTGCTTAATATTTTTTAGTTCAGACATACTGAAACCCAGCAGCACAGATGGTTTGTGATTATTTATTTCCTTCAGGCATATACTCCTCTTTTTTCCAAAGAATGACCCAACATCAATTTTCCATCTGTATAGCAGCGAGGAAAGTAATTCCAACTCTTTTTTAGAAGGATATGGCCTCTCATGAAAGTAGTCTGTCAAAAACTGTTTTTGAGCCTCATATGAATTGTGATCATACTGTTTAGGGTCCACTGCTAGGATGCGAAGCTCTTCACTAGAAGGAAGCTTCCTCATCTCAGTCCTAGAATTAACCTTCTGTCGTTTGAAAGGCACTACCCTGGGATTCACTTCTTTTTCTGAAGACAAAGCTATGCCAGTACTTAAGCTCGCAGGTTGCTGTTCCTTATTTCCTTGGTCTCCTGCAATGAAAGACTCCAACTGCTTTCTTTTCAGCAGCACTGAGTCATGCTTTTCACCATTCACAAGCAGCAAGTCCTTCTTCTCGGTACGGTCAAGCTGCATCTTCATGCTGGAGTTGCTGTTTTTAGGAGCACTTCTACAACGGAGCAGATGTACAGCAATGGCTGTCAGAGTCATATTGCCAGTGTACACACCACAACAGTGGATGCACTTGAAAGCAGGGGACTTCAAAATTGTATGTACAGTTGGCATTATATGATGCCGCTCTTTCAAATGCTTTTCATACGTTTCTTTGCTAACAAAAGTACCAAAGCAGAAGGGACAGGTCAATGCTTTTTGCTTCCATCTGCTGTTCACTTCTGCTGTCTGAGGTTTCACTTTGATGTAAAGGGGGACAAGCGTCCTCGAATTTAGTCCGGCGAGCACTGCTAAATGTATTTCTCTTTCACCAACGTCTTCTTTTGGTAACATCATACTGAAATCAAAGTGTGGAAATACAAGGTTACCCTGAGCATCATCACCTAGCTGAAATCCTCTGTTGCTGTAATCTGTATGTAGCTGCTTTTTCCCATTGTGTGTGGTTTTATTGTGCTCCACGAGGCCTTTTAAGTCATGGAAAGTAACAGTGCAAAACAAGCAAGCTAAACCATGCATCAAGAGATGTTTCATGAGCTCTTCCTCACAGAGAAAACACTTACAAGAGAAACACCGGACCGTTTTTTCTGTTATCCACCTTAGAAAGGGTGCACAAGCTGCAAGTTTGTCAGGTTCTGCGGTTTCCTCCATTTTCACTTCACCAGGTTTGTGGGCCACCTCCATGTGCACCTGGTAGACATTTGATGGGAAAAGCTCATTACAAACAGGACAAGTCTTCCACTGCTTAGCCTGTCTGGCAGCCTGACTTGTTTCAGGACCAGGTGGAGAGGTTTGTAACATTGCATTCGGGGATGCTAAAACCACTGGAGGCGAGGGCGTGCTAGCCGGGGGCTGGGACAACTGAGTCACCATCCCAGACTGCATTAGCTGGATGGGCACCTGTGGCGGTGTCACAGTCGCTACTCCACCACCATCAGGTACAGGCAAAGTGACCGGAACCGGGGCCAGCGTGTACACAGGTATCCCATTGACCTGCTTACCGGTTGGAACCAACTGCCTAAGAATGGAACCTGCAGTCAAAAACGTCGTGTTCTGAGACACTGCGGGCTGAAGCGGCTGATTTATTGGGATAACTGCTGGGGCAACAGGCTGATTAAGCTGAAGGAACCCAGGTCTGACAGGCTGTCTGACAGGCACCACCCCCGAGGCGACAGGCTGGTTAAGCTGGAGAAGGCCCG